CAAAAGGATTTGCATTAACAAGAAGAGAGACGTAACAAAATAAACGCGATCCTTTAGAAAAACTGCGGTTCAGAAAAAAAATCATCCGTTTTTAAAAAAAAAAAAAGAGACCCGCTTCATCAAACAAAACAGCGGCCGGATTTCGTTTGGCGGAGTTAATTCCGGGCTCCCCGGCGGCCGGGGCGAGGACGGGTCTGGAGCTGTGGCACAGGGAGGTGGTCAAGCGGCTTGTTGGAGTCGAGCTGCGGCCGTGCAGCCCCGCACTCACGAGGGGGAACGAGGTGGGCTCCGGAACCCGTCTCGTGCAGTTCTCGAGGATTAACAGGCACCCCGCGTCTCCGCCACTGTCTTGTTTGGGCATAATGGACGTTTGGTCAACTCTGATATTTTAACGGAGTTTGTCGAAAGCTCGTTCATCGTAGCCGGCGATAATTGCTTGTGCGGTTTTTTTTTTTTGAAGGCGCAGGATTCGAGTCCTTCCGCTACTTCACAGACTTGTAATGCAGTATTTACACTGATGACTTGGGATGTTCTTGCAAAATTATCCGTGTAACTATTTAGATCGCTTCAACAAATAACGAATGAACAACAGACCCGGTAGTGTCATTGTCCAGATTGACTTTAACGAAATATTTTTTTTACTTTTACAAAATATCTTGAATAATTAAATTGGCGTATATATTGCCCTCCTCATTAGCATTTAGCATATTGAGGCCATCATATTTCAATTTGGTGCCCCGTAAAACAGTGACAAGCAAGATTAATGCTTTACTAGGTCTCCGAGTGCAAAAATGAAATGTTTGCATTTTTTATCGAAGCTGCGCCTTAGTGTTTTAATTACAAGGCGATGACAAACAGCTGAGGGTTTTCATGGGGAATGTCTCTGCTTTATGGTTCTTCCAAATGAAAACGTGGACGTCTTCCAAAATCATTTTTCAAGTTCATACTTATTCCTTGTTCGCAACATGCAGGTGATGCGTGCACAGCAGGCACATGAAAAATAAAATCGCGCATTAATGTCCGAGATGTGTGCTTATTTCACACTAGGTAAATTTTAAGTCCTTTTCATGTTTTTGACGTTGAGGTTTTTTTTAAGGCTTCCGGTTTTGCTGAAAGTTGACTGTTGGAACTTAATGTTTTCCTTCTCAGCGGAAGGATCGAACTTTCATATCGACTTGTAATTTTGTCACAACGGAATTTGAGTTTTTACTATGCGCACAGCGAAAGATATTGGCGTGTAAATTGTTGTCCATTTGGTGCAGATCGCTACACACTCACCACCAGGGTCCTGAAAATAAGTGATTAAACTGAGATGTCGTCAAGGTTGTTGTGTTAAAAAGCGCATTGTTTATTTTTAAAGAACCACGAATTTGAGACCTTATCCTAATGACTTCATAGATGTTAATAGTTTCATAGAAAAAACTTTTAAAGTAAAGCGTTTTCCCAGTAATTCCAAAACGGCATCTCAAGGTCTAATATTTGTTGAAAAGTACTGTATTAAAAAATAATTTGCTATGTAAAAGCATGGTACAACACTTACATATACTCTTTATATGTTTGAATCCTTATACGTTAGTCACTCCATTTAACAAATACTCATTCGCTGTGAGTAGACGCCTCTTATTGTTGAGTTTAATTACGGGTGTGCGCGAAAGCAGCACAATTTTACATTAATTCTCTTTCGCGTTTGTAGTTTGTCCTCGATCTAAGGGGAGTTTCGCTGCTGCGTGCACTTGGAAGTAAAGTTTCCTCTTGTTGTTTTGCAGAATGTGGATGACCACAGCATATTAATGGCGGATCAGACGGTAATTAAAAAAGGTACGGATGTTTCTGTATGTTTTAACTTAATGCGCCTGCCTGTCTGATTCACGGCAACTTGCTGTATTTGAACTATTTTCCTGTCCAAGAAAAAATAATACTGAATGAATACTGAATTCAATTTAATTGAATTTGCTATAATCACAATTTAAGCAGTGTGGCACACAGGGGTAAATTAAACTTGTTTTCGTTATTTACAACTGCGGACAAACTTGAACTGTGACTAGGCTCATTCTAGCACGTTAAAAGGACATTTAACCTCAATGCAAATCCGATCTAAATCATGGTGTCGATGCTTAATTTTAAGCGCTGCAGGTAAGCGAACTCCCGCCAACTGCAGTTTTTAGACTCCTGGCGAATGCAAACATTCTTTCGCTTGTTCGTCTTGTGCAAAAGGATTTGCATTAACAAGAAGAGAGACGTAACAAAATAAACGCGATCCTTTAGAAAAACTGCGGTTCAGAAAAAAAATCATCCGTTTTTAAAAAAAAAAAAAGAGACCCGCTTCATCAAACAAAACAGCGGCCGGATTTCGTTTGGCGGAGTTAATTCCGGGCTCCCCGGCGGCCGGGGCGAGGACGGGTCTGGAGCTGTGGCACAGGGAGGTGGTCAAGCGGCTTGTTGGAGTCGAGCTGCGGCCGTGCAGCCCCGCACTCACGAGGGGGAACGAGGTGGGCTCCGGAACCCGTCTCGTGCAGTTCTCGAGGATTAACAGGCACCCCGCGTCTCCGCCACTGTCTTGTTTGGGCATAATGGACGTTTGGTCAACTCTGATATTTTAACGGAGTTTGTCGAAAGCTCGTTCATCGTAGCCGGCGATAATTGCTTGTGCGGTTTTTTTTTTTTGAAGGCGCAGGATTCGAGTCCTTCCGCTACTTCACAGACTTGTAATGCAGTATTTACACTGATGACTTGGGATGTTCTTGCAAAATTATCCGTGTAACTATTTAGATCGCTTCAACAAATAACGAATGAACAACAGACCCGGTAGTGTCATTGTCCAGATTGACTTTAACGAAATATTTTTTTTACTTTTACAAAATATCTTGAATAATTAAATTGGCGTATATATTGCCCTCCTCATTAGCATTTAGCATATTGAGGCCATCATATTTCAATTTGGTGCCCCGTAAAACAGTGACAAGCAAGATTAATGCTTTACTAGGTCTCCGAGTGCAAAAATGAAATGTTTGCATTTTTTATCGAAGCTGCGCCTTAGTGTTTTAATTACAAGGCGATGACAAACAGCTGAGGGTTTTCATGGGGAATGTCTCTGCTTTATGGTTCTTCCAAATGAAAACGTGGACGTCTTCCAAAATCATTTTTCAAGTTCATACTTATTCCTTGTTCGCAACATGCAGGTGATGCGTGCACAGCAGGCACATGAAAAATAAAATCGCGCATTAATGTCCGAGATGTGTGCTTATTTCACACTAGGTAAATTTTAAGTCCTTTTCATGTTTTTGACGTTGAGGTTTTTTTTAAGGCTTCCGGTTTTGCTGAAAGTTGACTGTTGGAACTTAATGTTAGCGCTTCCTCATTTCTGGTATCTAAGGGCAGAAATAAATGCTGTTATTTTAAAACTGAGGCACTGTCCCTTTAGAGTATTTATCAAAGCTTGTGTGTTCCATTAAAAACAAACGGCGAAACCAAATTTGTTTTTTACGTTTTCATATTTTTCTCCCCCCCCACAGATGCCAAGTTAAACGTTTCCTCTTGATTAGAAGCCTCTGTGGGGTTAGATTAGCTCAGCAGTAAAATAATCAATTAGTCGGGACCCTTGCTCTCACTAGCTGGGGTAATTCTGTACGAGGTAGAGATGAAAGTGTTTTGGCCTTTAACTAATTCAGTCAATCTGCTGTCGGGCGGAAGACTGTTACTCAGACTTCCTTAGCAAAAATGAGTAACATAAGCAAGCATTTAATACCCTCTATCTCTTTTTACTACCGGCTTAAAGGGAAGGAAATTTGTCTGGATATGTTTACCATTTAAATATTGCCTATTTTGTGTGGTTGTTTTTGACCTGTTTAGCTCAGACCTGAGTGTACTTTGCAGAAATGTTTCTTATCGATTTGATGTCGGGAGAAACCAGGTTTATTTCCCTGCTTTCTTTGTACATCTGTGCATTTCTCCCTTCCTTTCTGAAAGCGCTGAGTCTGCCGATCAGCTCCACCCTCGTCTTGGTTTGGACTGGCTCTGATGTGGGAAAGAAACCGATTTTCTTTTTTCTGAATTTCAGTTGAGTGAAAGCTGGTCTCCCTTTAAATGACATGCTACCTGCTTTTGCGGGGGATATTAAACATGGCAGACGTACACTTTATATAGTGTTTGCAAAAAGACGAAGTGTAACGGGGACAGCATCTGGTGTGCACCTTTTTAAAAAGCTTTCTTTACAGTAAAGTTTTTGTTGAGGCACTTTTCTGTCTGTATTTTGTACATTGTTTGGAATAAATATAGACCAGCGAGGTTAAATTTACCCCCCCAAAAAAACAATTTGGAGATATCCGCTTCTTCCAGCTGCAGCTGGAGATGATCACGGTGGTTCTGAAGGGCTTTTCATTTCTAACTGTTCTTGCTGCAGCCTCTGTTTGAGACCCTCGAGGTATACAGCACGCTGTGTCCTTCACTCTCGAACCCTCATACCTGAACCTCGGGCGAAACCTGTCCAACGAGGAGACAAGCATACGTATGTGAACGTTTCAGTTCTGCAGCTTTAAAACAGGCTTCAGGTTGTGCCGTCGTTTGCGAGGGAAGTCCAGAAAAGGGCCCCGGTCTGGAGCCGGTCGTGTGCTCGGGCAGCTCGATTCCTGTCGCTTGTGTGCAGGGGAGGCCGGGCAGGGCCGTGCTGCGGGGCTCTTGGGAAAGAAAACAAACACTCGCTCGCTCGGGCCAGCCGCTCAATAGCAAGAGCGACTCTATAGAAATGCAGGAGCTCCACCTTGGGTGCTAATTAAAGCCGGTGATGAGGAAGAAGAAAAAGGCCGTTCAAGTGCTCTTTCTTCTCGAGATCCTTCAGTAAATCCTTCACTTCACTAATCCTGCCGTGATGCGTCTGAAATCCGCACCGATCCGAGCTCTTGCAGGGCGGCTATGAAAGGGCTCGGAGTTGGCAGGGCGGCAGCCTGAGAGACGAGTTTAGCTCCTGCAAACGTGTGTGAATCACCGCCGAGGCATTGTGCAGTTCTGGAAGTGCACCAGTGCCTTTTCTTCATGTCTCCGATATCGTTCGGTTTCAAGAGGGGGGTGTAGTATCGCCTAAAGAAATAGAAAGCAGAGGATTTAAAATGAGCGTTTTATCTTAATGTAACTGTTGGGGTGCATATACTTATATACACACACCCAATAGAGACAAAGATTGCAGGCTGCCTATGCGCACAAGAACCCGAGGCTACCATCGGAGATGAAAACTGGAGGCACTTTATAAGAAGAGTAGCTGTTGTTGGTAGCAGACCACTTGGCCACTGTCTTACATGGCATGCCATCGGCTTCTGCTGTACCGTTTCTGTTTGGGGAGAAAAATACAAATGCTGCTGGTGAGTCTGCCTTTGTCTTCTGCTCTTCCGTTCTCCTGTGCTGTGCTGTGATATGCTTTTCTTGTCTCAGTATTAGGACTCAGATGTGGCTGGGCCCATGAGCGGGTACAGAGGAGGTATTTTGACAGTGGCTATCTTGCAGGCGAGGACGAAGGTACATCAATGCCTCTAGGACGTGCCTGTTAGTCGCAGGACATGCGGTTCATTCTGGGGGTGACGGCGCGAGGCTGCGGTTTCCGTGGGTTGAGGTTGCCCCCCCCCCCGTCACTTGCTGTGATCAGAAATGTCCAGATCTATAACCTGTCAAGTGTATGAAAGTGGGAACACCCCCCGTGGAAGGACTGCGCGGTCTCACAGTGGATGCTGAGGCGTAAGCAGTCAGTCAGGTGTCCCAGGAAGGAAGCAGTCTATGGAGTGGTTGTGTTGTTGGACAGAACCACCGGGATGGGCTGTGCGTATCTCAGTGGTTGGGGGGGGGAGGATCATTCTTTTACGTCATAGAGCCGTACAGGTCATTCTTTTCATTTGAAACATGCAGACGTTTTCAGGCCATCTGTTCTTGGAAAGTTATGCTTCTGCTTGGAGTGGGGTGCAGCAACCCGGACCTGTCCCACAGATACAGGGCCCAAAGTGGCACAATGCCCTTGAATCACAGGGCACACATCTCGGGATGCCCATCTGATACGCACACTCCTCACGAATGGTACCCTGATCTGGATCGGACTCCAGATGTGAGGCAGAACTGTTAGATGCTGTATAAAAGTTTTTACTAAATGAAATCTGAACTATAAAATGGTTCAGAATACGTAGATCTTTAGGTGGACAATACTTAATGTTAACCTATATTTGTCAACATAAAAGACCTGCAGGTTTTTTTTTTTGTATAATTCTAATAAACTGCACTTCAAAACCACAACCTCATTCATAATCGGAATAACTTGCTGAGTTAACATTCAAGTTTCTTGTCCAGCTAAAGTGTAAATCTCTCGCTGGCTGGAGGTGGACAGCTGCACCTGCAGGTTTCTAAACCATCATACTGTTTGCGTTTGTTTTGTTTTTTTTCCGCATTACTTTCTGTCAGTAGCCTCAGGAAGCATTTCAGTCTGCAAAACGGGTCCTTTGGAAATTCATAGCACTGTCTCCTCCAAATCAGAGCTGTGAGTTCTGTGGAGGAAGAGAGCTGAGCAAATTTCCCTGGGGAGCAGTGGACTGGGTCTCGGCCTTCAGGGGAGAAGTCTGGGGGGCAGGAGGGAGCCGGGGGATGTGTTGCAAATGGAGCTGGTTCTGAAGTGCAGAAGGATGCTTTAAAGTCCATCTGAAGGTCCGGATGGAGTGAATGGGCTCCTGGTGGGCTGTCAGCTCAGTGATGCCATGCTTGAGTCTCTGAATTAAAAACAAAAAGAACGGCTCCATGCTTCCATCAGCACTGACGAAGAGCTTGTCATGTTCACT